TACTGAAATTTTGGTAAAGTGACAACTGAAGTAGAAATATTATTATATAATTGTAACTTTATTATTTTAAAAACTGAAACAAATCAGTCAATTTTAACCTTCAGTATTATAGTAATGTAGTACCAACTGACTCATGTATATTTTATAGCATTAGTTGAGAGATTTTTTTTTCCTTGAAAACATTTGGCATGTACTGTACCTGCTATATATACAAATTAATCGATATTGAATCGAATCGAATTGGTAATCAAATCGAAAGCTTGTGAATGAGAATCGAATCGAATCGTGAAATTTGTGTCAAAACCCAGCCCTAATCATTAGTAAGGTATTTTTTAACATCCCCTTTTTAACTCACATAAGTGTTGGAGTGGGATGACTAACTCTTAACTTAAAGAGATAGTTCACCCAAAACTGAAAATTCTGTCATTAATTACTCACCCTCATGTCGTTCCAAACCTGTTAAGACCTTTGTTCATCTTCAAATTGAGATATTTTTGATGAAATCCGAGAGCTTTCTGACAGCAACACAACTACCACATTCAAGGGCCATAGTAAGGACATCGTTAAAATGGTCCATGTGACATCAGTGGTTCAACATTCATTTTATGAAGCTACCAGAATAATTTTTGTGTGCAAAGAAAACAAAAATAACGACTTTATTCAAAGATTTTTTTCTCTTCCGTGTCAGTCTTCGATGCGTGTTCATGAGAGTACCACAACGCATGCGTGTGGTGCTGCTGATGCAGGAGCCGGCGTTCTGACATAGAACACACATGTGCTGCGCCTTGTTTACAAGCAGAGGAATGCACACGAATGCGCCACGGTACTGTTGTGAACACGCATCGAAGACTGGCACGGAAGAGAAAAAATTGTTGAATAAAGTGGTTATTTTTGTTTTCTTTGTGCACAAAAAGTATTCTCATAGCTTCATAAAATTAAGGTTGAACCACTGATGTCACATGGACTATTTTAACGATGTCCTTACTACCTTTCTGGCCCTTAAACGTGGTAGTTGCATTGCTGTCTATAGAGGATCAGAAAGCTCTCGGAATTCATCAAAAATATCTTAATTTGTGTTCCAAAGAAGAACGAAGGTCTTACGGGTTTGGAACGACATGAGGGTGAGTAATTAATGACAGAATTTTCATTTGTGGGTGAACTATCCCTTTAAATGTTCCATATTATCTTGATCACAAATACCATTTATTTACAGCATTCTTCACAGTATTTTGTTGAGATGGTGTGGCTAACAACAATCAGCTTGTTTCCATAGCAAAGCCATTTCTCTTCATTTGACCCTCAAACCAGAAGCAGATCATCTGGATGGAGTAAAAATACACTACCCTACAAACCTAATTAAACCCTGGGAAGCCATGAGAGGCTTTTAGTGCAAATTCTCACTGACTGCCTGAAATACAGGCATTGGGGGGTTGGAGAGGAAACTCCTCAAATTAGCAACGACAGACGCCCAAAGCCCCACTGTGCCACACATCACAGAGTTAGTCTGCAGCACAGCCCCCCAAGCAACAAATCTGGGACATCCACCCCCTTATATACTCTAGCCACCCTCAGTGTTGTTCACGTCCACCTGATAGGAAGTTTAGACAGGTGTCCCATTGTTCTTGCTGTTGTCATGAGACAGGAACACATCACGGCATAATATTAGTGGATAAAGTCCAGAGAATTTTGTGGTTTAAAGATTTACAATTTTCACGCTTATGGAAATGTAATATTATAAAAAGCGTATAAATAGACTAAGATGTTTAACTGTTGAATAGTTGCTGAATTGTTTAAATATATCTGGGTGTATCTGAGAGACAGACAAAAGTCAGTAAACTAAAGTCATAATGACGAATTTTTAAAAAGCCTTAGTGATGAAACTTTATACAAGCAGTAACATGTTTTGCTCTCATCTAAATAGTATGACAAAATTGCATTAGCAATGACAAGTTCTAGCACATGAAGGGCTGAAAAGATTGTCAAAAAGGTACTTTCATCATTATAGAAGGTATGCCAAGAACTACTGGAATTTGAGCTCCTCTTTGTAGCGGAGCTCTTTGTAAATAGACATTCCAGAACTTTCCAACTGCACGGAGCAGAGTAACATGTGATTTAAGAAATGGGAATTCAACACTGCGACCACTGCACCATCATGCAGTATTTTTCAATACAGCACAGTGTAAAGTTTTACAGACATGTGAATTACTTGACATCACCCCCAAAAGTATAGTAAATTGGATCCACAAAGAACAGATGAAATAATTAAGCAAGCAGTTGTTATACGGAAGACTGAGAAGTCGTTAGTAAAAACAAATAAAAGATGAGAGAGTAAAATGAACAAAAATGACAGTTTCCTATGCCCAAAGAATGGTGTGAGATATAAAGAAAACAGGGGAATAAAACAAGGAACTACAAGCTACTCACATAAAACAGGATTCCGTTCTGTAATCAAATCATTATCATGGAAACAGAGGTGTTAATGTCACATAGAGGGAAACACACAAACACACGACAGACAAAACACACACAAGCAAGGGGTGATTTAAAAGCAGAACAAAATGTGTTGTGAATTTATGTGAAAGGCACACTCTCAGTTTGTGAGTGAGGCTTTTGCTGATTTAGAATGTTACTGGTCTAAATAACAGAACTGACCGTTATGTGTGGTGCTAAAAACACGGTTTCATTTGTTGTTGTTTTTTAACATATCTTAGACATCAGGTCAGGTTGTACAAGATCAGCTCTTAACTTTCATACAACTATGAAAATGACATTAAAATGTCAGATTTCACATCATGCAAATATATCACTATGCCCCCAGCTATCCTGACAAGTTAACTAGGTTAATCTCTAATATGTTTTATCCGGCACTAAACATGGTGAAAATAACCCTTCATATTCTGAAGGATAGAGTGCATACATTCAAAACCATTTAGCAAATGTGACAAAATGTGTACAAACTATTTAAAGTAAACCACCCAAACCCCTTAAAGCAATGTGTTTACTTGTATCAAAAATATCTCAAAGTGCCGAAAATTTCCCCTCGGATTGGCTATATTCCATTGGTGTTTTTATAGCAGGTTAGTTTTGCATGCACAAACAGAGCAGGTATAAAAAGCTTAAAGGGAACTTGCCTGGAGTTTGACTGCTTTAGGAGATTCTGGCTGTTTGTATATAATAAACAAATGTAATATGTTAGAAGGCATCAGGGCCACATTCTCCAAGTGTCTTAGACCATGGGACAGATCTGGGCCTTTGGTATGTTGTATATATTTGGCCATGCAAATACATTAAGACCAAAGACTACAGCATGTAAAACTCTTCTGCATGCTTTCATATAATACCCGTTATCATACATTAAGAGATCGGTAAAACTGCACAAAGATGGCAAACTACAGGCCAGCACTGCAGCCACTAAGATGTTTTCTCAATGTAGGCCCACGTGTAATACTTACACACGGTTAAGAGCCAGCAGTTATTACTAGATAATCATCTAGACAACATTATCAGTACATTAGAATCTACACACAACACTATCACTGACATACAAGTGCATGTTATCCACTGATGTATGTTAATTTGGTTAAAATTAGTCTTCCAGTAAAAGCACCCTGATGTCATTGTAATTAACGCGTCTAAAATAAAATAGATTACTTGTAAGACATTACAAATTAAAGAGCTTCAACTGTAAATGCAGTACAGAATAGTTTTAACAACTCTGACTATTTGTCTAACAAGCTATTTGTAAAACACTCTTGAAGAAAGTCAAGATGCCTAAAAGCACCCCTGCTATAGCAATGGATGACAAGACCGATGTCTTTGCAAACTGTATCGCATCCTACTCTTCTTTTTTTTTTTTTTTTAAAGTTACTCAGGACTTCTCAATTTTTTTCTATTCTGTTACACCACCTAAAGAAACACCTGATCAGAGTCAGAAGAAGCTTAATTTTATAGGGGTTTCTTAAAACCCGAATAACTAATTGAAAATATGTAGGCCTAGTTATGTTGCATATTCATCTAATTAACTAGTTTTTAACCTGCAAGCCTCATCACCCTATCCTGCTCAGTACTGCCACCTACTGAGGTGTGACAGTTTCCCAAAATATACCCACATATCCTTCCACACCTATATCATTGGTGGAATTTAACAAGAAGGTCAAAAGTAATGATTCAGTGAAAGGCTGAGAGAAATTAACTCACTGGAATGTTGTGGTCTTTCTTTCCTTTGTGAGAGGATGCAACGTGAGCCAGGTACTGGATTACTTTTTTGGTGTTTTCTGTCTTTCCAGCACCTGATTCCCCTCTGCAAGAGAAAATTCCAATCAAAAGCAAACATAAAAAAATTATAACAATAATAAAATACCCAAATAAAATAAAACAACAGATTGGTTAGATATTTATGCACATTTGCATTCCACAAACTAAATTAAGCATCATGCTGCATCCTGTATCACAGGTCTGCCGTTTGTTTTTTCAGCTGCGGTTCCTTTCAGCAGCTAGGAGCCTGGGTGAGGAGAATTTGGTCTATAGTGCTGGTGTATTACACAATGGGCTTTATTAAGTGACCATTAAAAGTCTTATATAATATTACTGACATGCAAAATATGTTTTAATGACTTTATAACACAATGATATGGATGCAAGAAATACTGTTCATCACAGGTCTGATAAAAAAATTATTCTCCCCAATCTGCCCATAAATGGAAAAAAGTCTTTAGAAAGACACCCAAAGTTTTTACACAAAGGCCTGTGAAGTCATTCATTTACTGCTTCAATCAATGAAATATAACAGCAAAATCTAATGCAAATAGTACACCACACAAACTATATATACAGTATAAATATATATATATATATACGCAAGGATATTCACCTTTTTCTCCTTCAACCACTGTGTGCTCAGTTTTGCTGTGTGCTTTGGGTCATTGTCATGTTGGAAGGTAAACCTTCTTCCCATTGACAACTTTCTGGCAGAAGGCAGCAGATTTTCCTCAAGAATTTGACGGTATTTTGCCCCATCCATTTTTCCTTTTATCCTGACAAGTGCTCCAGTACCTGCTGCAGAGAAACATCCCATAACAGGATATCACCACCTCCATGCTTTACTGTAGGAATGCTGCTATTTGAATGGTGAGCTGTAATGGATTTCCGCCAGACATATTGTTTGGTGTTGAGGCCAAATAATTCTATTTCACTTCTTAATAATAGACTTCACTGTGCATCTAGGCATTGATAAAGCCTTTGAATTTTTTTGTCTCCATCTCCTGACTTGTGCGCCTGTCCACAACCTTATCCCGGAGATCTTTTGACAGTACCTTGCCACCCATAGTTGATTGTTTGCTTCAGCTGCACTACCAAGGACTGAAATGCTCCAGGAAAGCTCTTTTCATGCTGAGTTAATCAAAATGACCACAGCGGAACACAGTTAAAAATCATATGGCTTTGTGTTCCATTGAGAAGGTGATCGGCTACACCTGATTGAGTTTACAAGTCATTTTTAGGAGGGGGTGATCCTTTTTCCAACTCAGTGATTCTATTTTTTTTTATTTTTGTATGACATGTTGGTGTTATATCTTTCAGTTGGATGTTATAAGCTGCACTGAGTAAAGCTGGATAAAACAAAAACTGTGTCCGTCTTAAGATAAAACATTTAACTTATGAAATGTCAGAGTATTTTATGAGAACTTCAAATGCATATACAATACAGATATGTTATAACAAAACGATTTGTAAAGCACAATATACATTGACATCACGAACAGCTCATGATAAAACTCTCTCAATAAAGTTAAAACCCTTAAAAGCACCCCAGCTACAGCAATAGATGATTAGACACAATAGATGATCTTTGCCAAATGCATTGCTTCCCAATGATTATTGAGATTAGATATCATATAAACAGTCTATCTTCTAAAAGCACCTCTCAAAACTCCTGCATTTTACTCCATTCTGAAAAAAAACTGTTATCCTCATGTTGCTCAAATATAGCAAGACCTACTAGTAAGAATCTACTAGAACAGTGTTTCCCAACCGGGGTGCCGCGGCACCCTGGGGTGCCGTCTGTCGAGAGCAGGGGTGCAGTGTAAAAAATCCTTTAATATTTTTAAATTGCTAAAATGTTCAAAAAAGCATCTATTATATAATATCCATCTGATGTCGCCAATAATTAGAGATGCACCGAAATTTCGGCTGCCAAAAATTAGTTCACCGCTCAGGATTCACTTTCACGTGGTGTGACGCTCTGCGTATTATCCCGCTCTATTCGTGTTCGCTCCGCTCAATCGCTCCACTCGTATACCGTTCATGCGAATCGGAACAGCACATTCCACTCAAAAATCGAGCCGACAGGAAACATCGCATATCGAAGTTAGAAATTCAAATATTGTGACAAAATTAATTTTGTAGGGTGCCACAAATTTGTTAAAATTTCCAAAGGGTGCCTCGACTAAAAAAAGGTTGGGAAACACTGTACTAGAACACCCATTCTCAAAGTGTGGGGTCTCCCTCTAGTGGTACGCAGAGGAGTCACTGACTTAAATATAAATTAATGTTAAAACAGTGTTTCCCAGCCACTGTTTTCGGGTGTGCCATGGAAAATTATCAAAAACTTGTTTTTGTGTGTATAAAGAGCAGAGAAGAGTCTTAGCATTTGCTGTCTAGTTGTAGCCAATACACTTTTGTACATTTTAAATATCATAGCTGTTCGTATTTTATATCGTGAGATTTTGGTCAAATGTATTAATAACGAGAGAAACTGAGCGCCCATATAGCTACAATAAACTTTATAACCTGCAAACTGGTGAAAACGTAATGCTATTAATTTACTGCCTCAGTAATGCCATTCTAATGATGGACAAAACACAGATCTCTATCACTCGCTCGTCAAAAACCTCATTAAACACATTTGAGTATGATTTTCAGAAAGTAAGTGCAAGTGTCTGATCATATATAAAGCCAAAATACCATGCTCTGATGACGCAACGTTTAATTATTGGAAAAATAAAAAATAAGTTTCCCCTTTCTATCTTTTTTTTTTTTGTAATGCTTAGTGGTGTGCCCTGGGATTTTTTACATATCAAAACTGTGCCATGGAAGAAACAAAGGTTGGGAAACACTGTTAAAACACTTTAAAAAAGTTTGCCAGGTGGCTAAATGATGCCTGTGTTAATTTTTTGATCAAGTACTGTACATGTTTTACTTTACATTTAAGTACAGTGCAGTTTTTATTTAACTTTTAGGTACAGTACATTTTAATTTAATTATTTAAGTTTTTTTATTTACCTGTATGCAAGCACAGTGCAGTGTTAATGTTCAAACTGTATTTACAATATTTAAAGTAGCAGACAATAATAGATATTCTTATTAGGAATAAAACTGCCTCATTTTTTAACTGTGCATAGCTGTAGCTGAATAATTAGGCCTACTACGCTACTGTATTTTAATGTTGGTCGTTATGGTGGTACTTGGAGAACCAAATATTTCTGAGGTGGTACTTGGTGTAAAAAGTTTGAGAACCACTGTACTAGAAGATTCTGTAAAACACTAAAGGCTCTCATGCTCCAAAAAGGATAATAAAAAGCATAATAAAAGTAGCCTGTATGACTTGTGCACTATATTCACAGTTTTCTGAAGCCATGAATTGTCTTCATTTATATTCTATAGAAAAGACTAGCTTGGACAGAATTTAAGTCTCGAGTTTCACAATAGAATTCTGGGTAAATCGGTCTTTTAAAAGCTCTTGAATGTGTCTGTTTTTTTGCTTGTGTTCAAGCTTTTGAGTGTGAGATTCCTTAACCCTGCATTCTAGCTACATGGACATAAGGCTTCATGGACATCATGACTTCACAGCGGGTGTGCAGAATGGCATGTGCTGCAGTGGTATCAGTAGGTCAGAAGGGGTCGACTTTGAGAGAGGATGTTAAAACCAACTCTCATAACCTATTACAGTGCCACTAAGACATGAGAGAGACTGTTTACTTATTTACAATGTGCAAAGACAGTAATTCAGGCTTAATGCATCAAAAGCTTGAATTTCTATGGATGAATTCTTATAGGCTGACTAGAAATATTTGCCGTGGGTCTGACTCACACTGTGAGATGCTCTACATGCCAAACAGCTACAGCTACTGATATTTAATACCTGCAATGATACATGACTCATGTTTTCAGGCATGGCTGTATATCAGCTTCGACTGAATGACGTAACCTGTAACTGCTGAATAGAGATGACCTAATGGTTACTCACGTGCAAAGAATTGATTGGTCCTCACGATCTGCAAAAGAGGAGACGAGAAGAAAAATAGGTCAGCATTTTCAGTTCAGTTCACCTGAGCCTTTAATTCAAATCAATCCACTTTGACATTTAGAAGTACCTAAAACAGCAAAAGACAAACATTTCACCACAAAGTGATTTATCAGATACAGAAGATACATGTACTCTGATGCATTTTATTTCTGCCCAATTATTATTACAATCTGCTGTCATATTTGTATATACTCAACACTGCATATTATGACTATTCTGTCTTTTCAACAGACGAAAAGTTTTAGTGAAAGAATACACAGCATAAAAGGAAGACGGCTCAGTTCAAATGGAAATGAGTGCCAACTGAAAATGCTGTGTTGGCCTACAATGCAAGCCAAAAAACATCTGTAAAACTGGTTATGTCACATCAAGTAGGTTTCTCACTTGTCTGCAAATCTCACTTCGTAAACAGGTTGGTCTTCCACAAAACGGAATCTTTTCGCAACTTCAAAAGTAAAGGTTTTATAGGAAAATTCAAAAGCAAGCAAAACTATTTTATAGTGATACTAAACCTCGGCAAGAGGAAGATAGGGGATGTCATGTGACTGCTTATTTGAGGATGGGCTTAAAAAAGGCTTTTAACAGCACATATCATTTTTCTTACATGATATGGATTGCCGTTTTACTGATACTGATGTTTTAGCTTCAGTGCAACCAAAATTCTGCCCTACTTATGCATTTCATTTCCCAGGCACAAACAGATAATTGTCAACTCAGGTATATGCCAGATACTTGCATGAACATTATCCTATGCATGAGAAAGCCTCTGACATGCTTTAATTGCACTGATCTCTGTAACATCAGCTCACTTTAATCAAACATAATGCATACGGACTGTAGGTAACTGGGTTTGAGTATTAAGAGACTATGCCCAATTCTGGAGATTAGCAGATTCAAATGTACTACTTAATGTCCTGCAGCCTCCTCCTCATGCAGGACATCTGATTCAATAAGCTCAAAGTAAATGTCTTCCTCCGCATTGTACAGCAGTTACAAAACCACATACATAGTACTCAATGTTTTTGTGCGTCACACTGGAGTGTGTAATCATTTGTATTACAGCATAACTCTCTGCATCCTCTTCCAGAGTGTTGTGATTCACTTGAATACATTTTCTATATATCAGGGGTGAACGAACACACACCCACCCTGGGAGCTCTTCCAAGCGATCATTTGGGTTGTGTCTCAGTTCCCGAATCTGCAGCTGCAGAATGTTGCTAATGATGTAGATAAATAACTTCATGTCACTGTTAAACGGTTTCTCTTGCAGTATCAGACAGCTTCTGAGCACAGGCCATCCTTGAAACGCTAGGCATTTGTGTGTCTGGTGGAACCAAGAAGCACTAGATAAGATAAACCTGGCCAGCCCAACCCAAAAATGGTGGCCATAGACATTTTCTTTTCAGGAAAAATTTCTATGAAAAGTCATTACTTTAAAATGTTTGTACAGACTTTTTCTTTTACTAAGCTTGACATTTTGGCATGCAACTCATTCAGCACTGCTTGTACTACACTTGATCTACTTTAGATCAAGATTTATATGATTATTTCTTCTTGTACCTACCGTGTGAAAAGGCATATTCACACAGCGCAAAATTCAATGACCAAAGGAAATAAAGTTGCTCTTTTATTTCACATTGTATTGGGAGCTTTATTAGCTTTGTTGCATGTCTCTCGGTGTGAAGAGACATCAGGAAATCGATCCAAGACCTTTATAATAAAATAAAATCCCAACTGGGTCTTTGATGTGCTGCTTGTAGACTGATCACTGCTCCACTAAAGCAGTCAGAATTATTATTTTTTTTAATGCATAATTTAGCATCCTCAGAGGACTTGTGGAGATTAATCAAACTCCTAAAAAGTAGTGAGGTCGTTTAAAATGCCAAAACCAATTTACCGCATTCTTTTTAGGCATGGAAAGGTCTCTGTTCTGCAGTCCTCTAATGAGACGCAGGGGTATCTGACTAAGTCCACCTATGGGAACAGAGGATGCCTGAAGATAAAATAGTGCTGACTGCTTTCCTGTTCTGGCAGCGGAGGTCAGGGCTGTCTGGGTTGAAGAGGATCTATAGCTGAGCACATCCTCAGTATGGGGTTTCCTCCACCTGGACATGGTTTGCTCACTAAAAGTCTAACATTCGAGAACCCGCCCTTATATAAGAGGCCAAACGTGTAACAGAATATGTGAAAGAATGATAATGGCATAAAAGAAAATGTGTAACAATTGTTAGAACATCTTTTGTTTTAATCTAGATAGCAGAAAACACAAGGACTCAAAAACTCAATGTGTCCTTATGCATGAATCAACAGGAACAGAATGTTGGACTGATCTCGTCATAAGCAGAGCTATGAAACATGCCATGTTCAAAAACAATGTTTTAGATAAAAGGTTCAGGGCTCAGGTTACAAGAACTGGAAGTAGTTCCAGGGTGGAGGCGCTTCCTTTTGTGTGGCGTACATCAAACTCTGTGAACATTCATGACACTATCTGTCTCGGATACAGAGACACAGATATGGCAGCCAAGGATTCTGAAGAATGGCCTCTCCTATCAGCACAGCTGCAGAAAAGGGAAGCATATAATCAAGTGAAGAGAGGGCTCTTGACTTCTTTTCATTGCATCCTTTGTCAAGGCCTTAGCAACCCTTCTCTGAATAATGAACAGCTGATTACAGAGATTCCAGCATAATTCAGGCACAGCCGTAAGAATGTGTGGTAATAATTAAAATCAAATGGAGCTCCCAAACAAGCATTCAAATATAACTCATAACCTGTTATCTTTGTAATATGACAAGACTTGGTCAGCAGATCATACCTCGCATACTTCCAGTTTCATTTAATTTGATCCAAACTAGGGATGCAGCAATTAACCGTGCTTTAAAATGGCACGGTTAATTAAACGTAAAGGCTTGGCTACACCGAGTGTTTCTGTTGCACAGAACGGAACTGTTGCAACTTGCACAAAACGAAAACAAAGTTACACTAGCGGTGCGCCAACTTAAAATGCCGTGCTTATCAGAGACACGGAGGCTACTACCCACTCAGCTGTTTACATTCATTTAAAACCTAACTGACTGCTACACCGAGTGTTTCTGTTGCACAGAACGGAACAGTTGCAACTTGCACAAAACAAAAACAAAGTTACACTAGCGGTGCACCAACTTAAAATGCTGTGCTTATCAGAGATACTGCTACACACACTAGATTAACTATGACAGAGGAACCAAGCAGCGATCCTTTATTTCCACCAGAGAAATGACTGAAGTCGATAGTGTGGGGCTATTTTGGGTACACCAAGAATGACATTTAAATATTGCCATAAAAACTGCTGCTAAAGAGCGAATACACGGCTTTAAACTATTTTAATGCACAACGTGAAGCTACGGCTCGTTAGCTCAGCATTCTGCACGCTTCAGATCAGACAGATGAAATAATGCGGTAAGATCACATTTATTTGAATTAATTAATTATAACATTTAGCTACTTATAAATTAATTATTCGATTGGGAGAGGGAGAGAGAGAGAGAGAGAGAGAGAGAGAGAGAGAGAGAGAGAGAGTGATTTTTCCCCCTCGTTGCTGATGAATATAATGTAGCAATTCAGTATCTAAGCTATTTTATTAATAAAAGTCGTGGGGCAGGGTTCACAACAAGTGTGTGTCCTCCTGAATGTTTGCATGTGTGCGCAGCACGATCTCCGATCTCACAAACCAAAATAATAGACATGATTTTCTCAGGCTACATGTAAAATCATATGAATTATTATAAAAATTATTAAAATGAATACGTATGGATGACAGTTGATTGCAATAATAGTTCAGCTTATTCCCCTCATTATTAATAATTTCCCCTGTGGGATAAATAAAGTTAACAGTCTTATATTAATAATACTTCATTAACACAATAATTGTTAATTAATTATCCCTTTTACAGTATTATTCATAATTCAAAAACCAACAAGATTTTTTTTCACCATGTTTCCAGTTCTCTACCTCAGGTCTAAAAGAAATGTAAAGAATGTACAAACTGAAAACACTAAATACTTTTGTGATCTATTTTCATTAGTTATTTTCAAAAGGGAAATACTGACATGGATGTTTACAGAGCAGAGGTCACCTTTTTAATTCCAACTGGAGAGATGGACTTTTGTTTGTCTTTATTATTATTATTTTGTGCTGTATTATTGGTTACCGTGTTATTTCTGTTTCAAAAGGCAGCAATAAATAACACTTTAATATCTAAAGAGTGTCCATGTGATTTTATACATTAATAATTTTGTGAAATGGATAAATGCATAATAATCGTCATAATCGTAAAACCGTGATTATTTCTCAGACAATAACCATACCAACAAAATCTATAATCGTTGCATCCCTAATCCAAACCTGATCTGAACTGGAATTTCAGTGCATGCTTTCAGTTAGGACTGAAATGATTAGTCGACAATAATAAATTGTTGACAAATATTTTTGTTGTCGAGTAGTCGTTTGATCTCATATGACCTAATGTAAGAGCCTGCAATAACGCGGTTTGACCAGTGTGGCGCTGTAGCGCAACTAAGACTGTAATTCAGCTCTCCTGATGCAATTCAAGAGAAGAAGACAGCGCTTCAGTTCAGAGCAAACGAGCAAACGCAGCTAGGCTGCTGAGCGGCGTTTGGATGAATACGTAAATATATACATAGGGCTGGGCGACATAGCTAAAAAAAAAAATATCAACGATATGTTTCATATCGTTCGGTATCGATAATTATTGACATTTTTTATAACCTTTTTTTTTAAACAAAAAGCAATAGAAATTTTTTTTTTTCAATTTAACCAATGTATTTATAATTAACACAATTTATTGAGACAAACAACAAATATTTTTTGTTTTAACAATCAAATACAATAATAATTAAACAAATCTCATTTCTAATGTTTTATATGCAGATTAAATAGGTCTTTATTGTATAGGTCTAATTGTCTCCCG